GAAGGAACAGCCCCATCTCCTCCGTGGGACTCATCCGGAGCAAGCGGAGTTGATCTTCCGCATTGCCGTACGAGTCCGGTCCATCAAAGATCTCCAGGAACTCCGAGATGAAGGCGGAAAGGTTCCCATGCCAAGTGAGGCTGGCGGAAACTGGACGCCCATAGATAGTTGCGGCAATTCCCCGGAGTCGAGTCAGCATAAAACTGATCTTGTCGTCATCCGTCCGGTGCTCCCAGGGGTGAGCAGCCAGATGTGCATAGCACTGGGAGAGAAAGGGCATGAGGTCCTCTTTCTTGCCGTCGAACAACATTGGATATTGGAGCTGCGAGTTTTCGGGGTCCGGAATCGGAGCGGGAGATAGCTCGGGAGATGGATGGTTGGTGGGAGAATTTTGGGCAGATGTGGGATAGTTGGATGGATAAGGAAGATTGTAAGGAGGCATGTGCGACATGTCAATGTCTGGGACGTACTCCTCCGGGAGCGCGGCGGAGGCCGGTGAAACGGGCAAGATGCGCTAACAGTGAAAATGGGCTAAATAAGCTCTGAATGCGGGCTAGCTGAACACTAACACACCACACACAAAACCTAACACAACACCAAATCCCCTACTTATACTTCACTAAGACTAAGCGCGTCTTCCTCAGTGAGTTCGGGTCCGAGCCGTAGTATGCGACTACTGGTTTGGATTCCTAGCACAACGAGAATTGAATTATGGCCTCAACTATCCCAACTAAACAAACACCGCACTCTCGGCTAGCTACCCTTGACGTTCCGAAACAAGACTTCCCAAGGTTGGGATGTACAGGTTTGGGGGTGATAAGGATGTTTACTAGGCGGACGTACAAAAGTACAGTCGTCCTAGGCGAGGTAAATGAAGTGTCTATCTGAAAACTCCCACTAATGGGCTATGCTGCTTCTCCTGCACTTCCTCTATGGCTTGGCTAGCTGAATGCTGCTAACGGCCGACTTAGACTCCTCTGAATCCAAGCTCTTTTCTGTTACACTTGGGCTTATTAAGGACCCGGAGTGTTCTCTTAGCTCAACTAGTCGGTCAATGAATCGACTGGCAGTTCTACCAAAGTGCTGTGCCGGGCGTGGTCCGTTTTACGGGAGGCGTTTCCTGGTCACCCAATGCGTAGCTACCACTGAAGTCCACCACAAAGCTAGCCGCAACTCTCAAACTTAAACTCTCGTGCTCTCGGTCCTGATTTATACGTGGAGAGTGGCGCCGCTCACAACCTCCCAACGCGAAGCTTCGACTTATTGGTTCACACAGTTACTTCTGGATCCAACAAACAACACTGCGATTTCTATAGACTGGTTTACAACAGAGAAGGTACTTTATCTCCGCTTCGACTGGCCTGAGCACACCCTTATTGACTGAGCGATGAGCGGGGCATGAACTGGTCTCTAGCGGTTTTTTATGAGGCTTTATATACTGTTCAGAGAGAAAACAGGCCGATGTTCTGATCATGCGACCGCCTCCGGAAGACGAGCCGGGTCCATTCGTGGTCTAGGCTTGCCTAGCTGGCCAACTATCTGACCATCTCGACAGCCAAGCCGGGTATAATTGCCTTTCTCAGTGTGCTAGTCTGCACCCGAGCAACTCTCCATGTGCAACTCCACTCCGGAACTACTATTCCCGGTGCAGCTTGCTCATAATCACGCCATTCCACCCCGCTATCTTACGGACTGAACATCCTAGCGTTCATCCACTGCTCCATCTCAACATGAATTCACTGTTTCTGCTATTTGTCTTCGTTAGGCTCTTTGGATCGCGTCGCGTCCATCACCTGACCTGCTGGTGGGTATACTCCTATACCCCTATAGTTGGTCCCTTCGCATTGTCTCAGCTAGCGCCTCTTCGGCCGCTACTGTATCGACTTCAGCAGGGTCTGTCCAGCTGCTATGGTACTAGCCACCTTCCTACACCTGCTAGCTCGCTCGTGCTCGTTCCTACTCTGTGCTAGCTCCAACCAAAGCTCCGTCTGTGCAGTCGTTGATCCTCGTTCATAGAATCCTTGACACTCTGAGGTACTAGACCTGTATGTTTATCTCCTTAATGCGTGTATTCGCCTAGTGTAACACTTGTAAACCGCGCCTAGCACTATAACTCGTACTACAGCCAGCAGCCGGAGCTCACTCTGACTCTCCTTTGTACCACCGAACAGAGTTCCCATTGCTAGTTTGTAGCCCTGAGAAGCTAGTAATGTGCCTAATAGAAGCTAGCAGACTTCGTCATGTGCTAGCTCTAAAAGCGCAAAATGTAGCTAGTTGGCAGCACATTGCAAACGCGCCGTTTCACCGGCGCCACGACCGGAGAAGGCGGATATTCGAGATTAAGATCTTGATTGAATTCCTCCAGCTGCTGAAGGGATTGCTGGAGATTCTGATCGTCCATCTCCACAGCATCTTCAACAGCGTCCATGAACAAACAATCCGGTGACGACCCCGAACTGGGAGGCGTCACAGATACCGGTGGAGAAGGTGTGCCGGGATACACCACAATGTTGTCCTGTGGTGGTCCCACATGGAAGGTCTCCATGGGAATTGATGCTGCCGTCATGGGAAACAATCCGCGATGCGTTACCGAAGCTTCACCGGAAAGAGAGGTTTTAGTCGCAGCCTTATGCTGAGGTGTTGGTGTAGCGGAAGAATCATGCAACATAACGATGTATGAGGCAAGGGTTCCTCGGCTAGCAGAACGAGGTGATGTCCAAGAGCGCAAGAGGTAGCTGGAAGACATGCTGATGCAGAACTACGACCTGAACAGGTGAGTAGTTTAATACTGTTATGTACCGTGCCGCGGGGAAAGGGATAGAGCAACAGTCGGCCGGAGTCGAACAAGAGATCCCGGAATAACCGGAGTGCCGGAAAGTAGACCGGAATGACCGGAGTCGACAGAGGGGACCGGCGGAGCTGCTTGACACAACACCACTGAGGCGCAGGGTGAGCGTGTACTGTGGTACGAGACAGGAATATAAGTAACAGTCAGAGTGACATGATGTGTAAGTAAGCAGCGGGCTTACACCCTTCCCCTCCATGGAAAATCAACCCCACACGTAAAAAAAAAAAAAGGAGAGGAATAGTGGTGGTACGTAAAGACTGCTCTGTGGGTGTGTCAAAAACAAATCCCGAAGGACCAAAAAAAAGCTACCAGGGCAGGCACAAGAAGGTGAACAGGACATGTATGGCCAGGCCATCCTTCAATCCTTCGCTCATGCGCACCAGCGGTCAAGCGCTTCTGTGTCGGCGAGTTCGGGTCCGGGGAGCCATGGGTTGCACTCGGAGCCACATCCAGTGAATCGAACAAGGTGTGTCCGTTCCTCCAGTATTTCATCAATAAAATATTCTTCTTCACCATCGTCGTTCAGAATCAGTCCGGGTTCGGGCAGCTTGCGTGAAGGGAATAGCTCGTTGTCATTTTCAACATACAGCTCTAATTTGGAGGAGTGAAAAACGGGGAAAACATTTGACTGGTTTGGCATATCCAGCGTGAACGTAGAGCACTCAGCGTGTTTACCAATGATCTTGTAAGGGCCGTCAAAACGTGCAATGTACTTGGCAACGCGGTGGTCCCCTTTCTTCATATAAATTTGGTGGCGGTGTTCAGTTGATAGCTTGATGTGGTTGCCAATCTTCAGATCGTTGAAGTCGGTGCGGCACGTTTTGTTGGCCTGTTCAGCTTGGCACAGTTTTGCTGTCAAGAGGTTGTCCTGGGTGTCGCTCACGTCGAGCTTGAGCTGGGTGATGAGTTCGCAGGCCAAGACCTTGTCAGGCGGAATATTGGCGGTTGGGGCAGCATTGAGAGGGGGAATTATCCGCAGAGAATGGCCCATTTGCAGTTGAAAACCAGAGTATCCGGTGGAAGTGTTTACTGTGTCAAATCGTACGCGGGGGAGCACACAAACCCATCCACGTTGATTATGTGAGACGTGGAAGCGGACCCCCTGGTTCACCACCTTGTTTGCACGTTCTCTTGCGCCATTTGTTTGGGGGTGGTAGGAGGACTAGTGTTGCCGCGACTCAGACTTGGAGGGTCCCAAGTCGACTTGAGTCGAGTTAAGTCAAGTTGATGAGATCGACTTCGGGTCACTCAGGTGACTCAAGTCGATTCCAAAATGGGTTTCATTCTCCAGGGCCCCATGAAGCTATCCAGCACATTTTGCAAAAAAAGTTCGGAAAATCTGTGACAGTGTGATGCATGTCACATGCGTGATATCTGTGACACGTCCAAAAAAAAAAAAAAATGTTTCGAGTTTTTTAAGAGCTCCGGAGGGGTTTGGAGCACTTTGAAAATATGGTGACTTAACTGACTTGAGTGACTCGAGTCGACTGGGTTCACGAGTCATTTTAAGGAGGACAATATTTTTAATTTAGCTTCTGTGGTGCCGAGAATAAGAGGTGCCTTTTTTGATTCATTTGGAGGCCAAATTTATTCCTCCCTAAACCTAACCGTTTGAACTGTTTGTTTACCATTTGTTTACCGTTTGCCAATCTGTGCAAACTAAACGGATTCAAAAACCGTTAAAAATGTTTTGAAATGGTAGAAAACGGAAATGGTTGGAGCCTTATGGACATGTATTCTTTCTTCTTCCTTTTACATGGTCAATGTCTCTCTCATTCTCTTTTATGTTCCCTTGAAATTTTTATATCTTGCAAGACAACACACACTACTTACTAGTTGTACACTGTACACAGGGGAGATTTCTTGGGCTTGTGACATTTGCTGAATGTGGTGGTTCTAGCCTTATTCTGAGGAAGCTGTGGGTTCGACTCCCAAGTCCAGTGGGCCTGGATCATCTGAGACCCACCTTTTATCGGTCTTTCCTTTCCTTCCTTGCGGTCTCATTTTCTTTCTCTCTCTCTCTCTGCTTTTTCTGAGGAGAGCGGGGAAGACTTGGAAGAAGATGCGAGGAAATTTGTGACATTGAGAGTCAGCTTGAGAAGATTCTGATGATCTTATAACACTCCAGCTGTGTCAGTTGTTCAGGTGTCATGCCCTTGTAGCTCAGCTGGTAGAGCGTCCTCTCTGAATCTGTCAGCGCTTTGTAATATGTATGAGGCCGTGGGTTCGACTCCCGCCTGGGCATATTGTTTCAACACATTTTTTTCTTCTTTCTTTAAATTCTTTTTCCACTGTTTTTTTTACCCCCCTTTCTCCGTGGCAGACCCGATTTATGTCTCGTCCAGTGGTTTCCTTGTGGAGCGGGCCAAAGGGATCTGGCTTGGCTTGGTGTATATGGTACCTACTGCATGTCATGCCTGCGTGGCTCAACGGTTGGAGCATCTTCCTTTGTTTGCCAGAACGCTGCGTGGCCTGAGGACGGCGCGGGCTCGACTCCCGCCACGGGCATATACTGTTATTACAGTAAAGGTTTTTTATTGTTTCTTTAAATTCTTTTCCCACGGGCGTTTATTCTATTTCCCCCTCCTTTCTCTGTGGCATACCAGATTCATACTTAGACATCTCGTCCAGTGTTTTCCTTGTGGAGCGGGCCAAAAGCTATGGTAGGCTTTTGTTATTGACTACTAACTATTGTATCCAATGCCAGTAATGCTCACGTGGCTGAATGGTTAGAGCATCCTCCTGTTCTACCTGGCGTGCGCGTTTACACGGACGGGGCGGGTTCGACTCCCGCCACGGGCATATTGTTTCAACACATTTTTCTTCCTGTGACTTCTTTTCTTTTTCCACTGGCATTTGCTTATTTCCCCTTTTCTCTCCGTGGCAAACCATGGCCAGATTCATAGCTCGTCCAGTGATGAGCCTTGGAGGGCCCAAAAGCTATGGTAGGCTCTTATTATTGACTATTGTACATTTATGCCTGCGTAGCTCAACGGTTAAAGCTCCCAGTGAAAACCGGTTATGCCCCGTTATGCCCGAATCTGCCCGAATCTGCCTCCTTTATGCCGAAATCTGCCATTCTCTGCCCAATTCTGCCGCTCACCAAATTCCGCTGATTAAATTGCAGATGAATCGACGAAGAGGGGATTTCTGGTGACTTTGCCAAACTTTACGACAAGTCGAAAAGTCGCAGAATTTACAAGTTCAAATGTGCGGCCGGGTGCGGCAGCGCGGAACACGTAATTGCCGCGCGGCCGTCGGAGTTTGAAACACTCCTTGCTTCCTACCACCACCTTCTCCCTCGTGCGCCGCATCCGCAGTTCCTGGTGCCCACACCGTTGTTGGCTGTTATCGAGCTCGAGCTCGTCCTCATCCTCCTCTTCCACCTGTCTCCTCCCCACCGCCATGCGAAACACGCGATAATTTCGACAATTGAAGACATACTCTTTTTACCGCGTTTTTGACGCATCCTTGCGTGCATTTAGCCCCCTGGTGCTCTTGATGGGACGACATGGACGTGTTCTGTATCCCTGGACAGGTCTATACGCGCTAACATTGAGGTCAGCATCAATTCACGATGCATCGTTGTCCTGCTGATTGGCCGCGATCTCGGGCCTATTATCATGTCTATCCTCCGATGATCCACCAAAGGGAGCTGCGGTAACGCTCTATCCCAGGCTTCACACCGATTGGCCGAGATCTGAGTCGGTCGTCTTATTTTTAATCTTCCGTTGGGACTAACTCCTGGAATTTGTAGCTACGGTCGTTTTCGATGCGGCGTTCCCAGCAGCGGGCGATCCACGTCGCTCTCATCGTAAGTCTTCGTCCCGTTGCAATTTTCGTCGTGCTAACGTTGTTCACTCGAAACAGGCTATGGCTATGTAGGCGGGAGGGAGGCCCTGCAGGCGAGCCATTATCTTCGCGCGGTCTGTGGGTGCTAATTCATATGGCTGATTCTAGCGAGTAGCGGTCCGAAGCTAATAGACCCAACCTGGGAGTCGTCCGCAACGCCGCCGTTCCTGGTATACTAACAGTTGTATCAGATTTCTTCGCCAACTTCACATCTGAATCCGGCGGCAACAGAATTACTCACGCGTCCCAGCCATCGGCTTGAAACAGAAACAGGTATGGTAAGTATGTGTTGAGGCGGCGCGGGACATTGCGGGTGAGTAACTGCCTTACCCCATCGCAGCGTACCGATAGCTTATCCCGCCATTTAGGGAGCTAGGCGAAGAATGCAAGTGCGTCGTTTTGGTGGTGTCGTTGTGGGTACATACGCTTGATGAAGCCATCGAAGTCGAGTCTTGGCGACATTCCCCTCATCTGCTTCGTACTCACAGTCCTCAGCGGTGTTCCCAGCGAGGTAAGAAGCGTTCGCGAACAACACAAGTCTCGCCTTCGGCCCGGGTGTTGTCCATAGCAACAATGTGCACTGTGTGCGCGTGTCGGAGATGGACACAGTACAGTAAGTCAAACTCGATCCCCCTCCTGCACTACACTGATGGGGCTGTTCGTCAGCGTCCCCGCAAGTACGATAAAGGTACGCCGTTCATACGCTAAAAACCCCGGACCTACACTAATAACGTGCTAAGTACAGTTGGTGACTTGACGCGATCGGCGTTCCCTTGGAGCGATGAGTTGATGTGATGCGCAGGTTGGTATGGCCGGTCGATGTGGTCGCTTTGGGCGTCGAGAGGATGGTTGCGCGCGACTTGTAGTGTATCCTATGCCGTCGTAGTCAATTAATAGACATTTTTCTACCGAAATCCCCTGAAAAGTAGGAATAATTGTCAGCGCATATGAGGGCGGATGGCGGCAGCACCGAGCAGAAAATGGGCAGAAGGCGACAGAATTTGGCAGATGGCGGAGAAAGTGGCGGGAAATCTCATATGCCCAGTGGCTCATTTCTATGCCAGATTCTGCTCAAATCTGCCAAACTTTGGCGGGGCATATCTGAGCAGATTCGGGCATAACCGGGCATAACCGGTTTTCGCTGGGGTTAAAGTGTCCTCCTGTTGTTAGTAATGATATTGTGTATGAGGACGGCGCGGGTTCGACTCCCGCCGAGGGCATTGTGCTTCCATCAATTTCTTTATTGTTTCTTTTCTTTTCTTTTTCCACTTGCGTTTATTCCCCCTCCTTTCTCTCCAGATTCATTCACCCCGTCCAGTGTCGACCCCTGTGGAGGGCCCAAAGCTATGGTAGGCTTTGTTATCGACTAGTGACATGGTGCCAATTGCACATCATGCTTGTGTGGCTCAACGGTTAGAGTGTCCTCTCGTTATGATCACGAGTAGTGCTACAAGAGGACGGCGCGGGTTCGACTCCCGCCGCGGGCATGGCGCCTTCCAATGTTTTTCTATTGCTTTAAATTCTTTCCACTGGCGTTTATTTTCCCCTCCTTGCTCTCTATGGCACTCCATGCATGGCCAGATTCATCTTGACCTTGGCCCGTGTCGACCCTTGTGGAGGGCTAAATCTATCTGACCTGGGCAATCATGACCGTGTGACTCAACGGTTAGAGAGTCCTTCCGTTGTCTTGTCCGTTGTTTATAATATGTGAGGACGGCGCGGGTTCGACTCCCGCCGTGGGCATACGTCCCCCATGATTTTTTTTTTCTTTTTCCACTCGCATTTAATATTATTTCCCCACCTCGCTCTCCATCCCCTTTCCCCAAACTTGAAGCTATCTGACTTGAGATGGTGTGCGTTGATGAGTTGATGAGTTTTAAAGCATGGAAGTTGGGTGGCAATTTCATCATGCCCTCGTAGCTCAGCGGTTAGAGCCTCCTCTTATTGTCGATGTGTACTAGCTCATAATTAAGCTTCATGGGAAGGCGTGGGTTCGACTCCCGCCGAGGGCGTAATGTTCTAGATGTCGTGTTTTTCTCCCCTCCTTCGATTGTTTTCTGTTTTGTGTCTTGCTTGGCGTTTGCGCTTCAGCCGTTTGTAATTTTTCAACTTTAAGGACCAAGGTCGAGTCATATTTGTATAGTACTAGTGACTGCAGGCCATTTGGGTGCGTGCATGGCAGCCCTCAGTTGCATTGAGAATGGTCGCCTTCGTGGCTCAGCGGTTAGAGCGTCCTCTGTGATTGTAGTGACTTGGAATCAGTAGCATATGAGGAAGGCGTGGGTTCGACTCCCGCCGAGGGCATGCCCATCCCTGTTTGTCGACTTCTTTTTTTTTTTCTTGTCTTGGCGTTTGCAAAATTTCCGACTTGACCAAGGACATTAGGGTGTTTCACGGTAGGTGTTTTAGCCCCAACTTATGCCTCAACTTTGGCCGCAACTTGTTGAGAAGTTGGGGCAGAAGTTGGGGCAAAAGTTGGGGCATCAAATAGCAGCACGACTTGATGCCCCAACTTTTGCCCCAACTTCTGCCCCAACTTGTGCCTCAACTTTGGCTAATTGACATTTTGGGCCGCTCTAGATACACATCTCTGCCTCAACTCTGGAGTTGAGGCAGAGTTTCTTCCGCAGGTGTTTCACGGTTGCGACCCCCGGTCACCCCCAACTTCTGCCCCAACTCTGCTCAAGTTGAGGCAGAGTTGAGGCATAAGTTGGGGCTAAAACACCTACCGTGAAACACCCTAATCATTCTTTGAGATTTAGATTCAGATTTGTATCTATCGCGGTCGCGGGGGAGGATTTCTCTGTGTGTGGTCGCTTCCTTTTTGTGTGGGTTGCTTTGCGGAGTCATTAGTCATCAGGAAAAACCAAAGTTGCCCCATAGCCCCAGAGAGACCCACATAGACGTCATAGACGTCATAGACAATGGACTTCTATCATAGACTGGTGGGAGGGGGGGGGGGGTCGACCCCATAGACACCCATAGACACCCATAAATCCCTACTTTCTATGAAACTGGGCCATTTTCTATGACAATTTTTCGACTTTTTCTTTCCCGTAGTCACCTCAAATCACACATAAAAAATGGCAAAAAACATATATATTGCAGCGCATGGAACACATATGTAGAATACTGATCTACAAGAGGAATGACGAGGAAGGTGAATAGGAGGGGGGTGTATATTATATGCACCTACAGGACCCACGAGTTTGCAAGGACGGGGACACGGAGTTAAGTTTCGATGTTCAGATTGATTTGACAACGAGACGCAAGAGAGAGAATTGGCTTTGCAATAGTGGAATGTTAAAGTTTACGTTGAGGACTTGGGGTAACTTGAGGAACGACTTTGTATGCCGGCGGGAAAGGTACAAGGTGAGTTTGAAAATTGCGCCCATTGAGGTGGAACCATACGAAGTTTGACGGAATCTTGCTGTTGAGTTTGCGTTCGTTGTCGTCGACACGACGGGCATCTCAGGTCAATTTTTTGATTCTGTGCGTCGGTTCGGCGTGGGGTTTGAACGCACTTACCGCATCTTGATGGCAGGTAATTTTGACGAGATGTTGAAGGCCAAAAGGAATTGAAGTCGGAGTGGTGATGGTCGGACGTTGACAGTGATTGGCTCGGACAGGGACGAGTAACAGCAGACGAACGGGCACAGCAGGCATCGCTGGGAAGAGCGGAGCTGCGCGGGAGATGAGGCGGGGCGCGCGTAGACTCGCCGCGAAACTGATGGCGGCTTGATTTGATCCACTGAGTATCTGCCGACAATGAGTTAGTGGAAGACTGACCAGATAGCAAAGAATAAGTCAAGAAGAGAAAGATATGGGAAGGGCAGGGGGGTGTAGGCAGTGGGTACGTCCGAAGTGGCAATGGCCGGGGGACGAGAGAGTGTGGAAGGGAGGAGAAAGATGAGGAGTAAAAGGGGCATAAACATGACGAATGAGATCGAAGAAGGGCTGCAGACAGCCACCCGACAACGACTCAAAATTTAAAAGAGCAAATACGCACCTCTTCGCCGACTAGCCACGAAGCGAGACACACCCATCGAGCATCCAACAGAGCACAGCGGCCGGATCAGGATCAATGGGAGTTGAGAGGTAGACGGACCGTCGAGAGCGGTGGATGGAAGAGAAAGCAAAGGAAGAGTGGTGTTTGTTTGTCCACCATCAAACCGAACCATTTTCGCGCGCACGTGACATTACGGCACCACTTGTCGCGCGGCCGCCACCGCGCGTGTTGCCTTTGTTGCCGTGTTGTCGGCACAGTAAGTTAGTTCTGATTTAATTCTTAGATCCTCTGCTAGCTAGGAGACCCAATATAAATAGGTATGTTTCGCCCCAATTCAGGGAAGAATCTAAATATATCTGAATGCTGTCTTGTATGTACCTATAATTTGACGATGGCATAAGCGACGGACGATAATTCACCATCCTGTTCCAATTGTGGGACCGCACCAATATAATTTATTTTTATTCCTCCCCCTCCTCCTCCTCCATCCGTAATGACTTGTCTTGTGCAGCGTCTTCTCACAAGGCTATGCTCCCTGATGGGATTCGTTATTTTTCAGAAGCCTGACCTACACTGAATTAAAATGTAGCAACACCCTGTAAGTATGAGCCGTTGTTTTAAACTAATTCTGAATTCAGTACCCGGACATGTTCCAACACTGGTAACCTATAGAACAATATAGAGTGTCATAAACATTAAGGTCATGATACGGGAACATAAAGTCACTCATAGAGACCTATAGACATCCATAAAAGGGGTGATCAGCACAAAGACATCCATAGACAATCAAAGACACCCATAAAAGGCTGTGTTCTATCCTAGAATTTTGGTTTTTCCTGATGTATTGTGTTGAGTCAAGAATCAATGCTCTCGTAGCTCAGCGGTTAGAGCTTCCTCCTATTTGTATGCGCTACAATGATTCAATGAGGAAGGCGTGGAGTTCGACTCCTGCCGAGGGCGTGATGGTCTAGATGGCGTTTTTGCATCCGTTTCTCCCTTTGTTTTCTTTTTTTTTTGACTAGACCAAGGACATTCGTTCGTTGAGATTCAGGTTCAGACTTCTATCTATCGTACACCACTCTTCCTACTACACATCCAGTAAAACACTGAGTAGCTGTACACCCAAACGAGGCCATTTCTCTGCGTGTGCGCGCCCGTCACTGGCAGCGGAGGGTCGTTTCCAAGGGGATCCCATTACCCGAAATATATACCCCGACTCGATATTTTTTTCTCAGCTCAGTGGCTTGACCCCCCCCCCCCCCCTCGTGGGAAATTGCCTTTGTAGGAAGGCCCCTATGTACCGTTTCGCCTCAAAACACACAACGGTTGTGGCTGTACACTCACGTACACGCTTCCACGCCCAGATATAGTAATAATGTTTTGGTCTCTACCTCGAAAACGGGCTTAAATGGCACCTGGATGCCATACACATTTGTGTTCAGAGTATGAAGGTCCTTATTGGACAAAAGTATTTGCAAAGCCTAGATCTGGCAAGATTATCAGATAATGGCCATATCTCGCCAGATCTCGCCAAATATCCCCAGATATCAATCTATTTTTGTCTATATCTCGCACTTTCTCTATATCTCGCCAGATCCCATGGTTTCTTGCCACATCTTTCCCAAACTCAAAGTCAAGTTCTACGCCCAGATCTCGCTAGCTCTCGCTGAACATTTTCCTCCAGCCAAATGAACACTTGCAGAGTTCAAACTATTTCGCAAGAATGGCCGATCCTCAATTTGCAATTTTCTCGGTTGCCAAGAGAAACACCACATGGCCGCCACACTGCGAACATGAGGGATCACCGCAGCTCGGATACATGTGAGGAGGGATCGCCGCCACTGCCGCAGTTCCGCTCGCTCCCGACGCATGTCAAGTACTTGTATCTTTTGCTTCGCTCTTTTCCCTTTGCTTCTCATGTCTCATCTGCCTGCCCGCCTGGGATGCACACTCTGTCCTCCCAATGGCACTTCCAAGTGTGCGAGCTGGGTTGCTCGCGATATTAACCCACTCACTGGTCGCCCTTATCCACGCGCTGTACATTCCCTATTCACCTTATCACGTCTTTCCACTCATACCATGCTACATTCACAGATTGCAAACAACCCCAATGAGCACTGTGCTGTACCCTGCGGCCATGCGTGGATTTCCCATCGCCCAATTCCCCTACTCGACTCGACTGACCCGGCCTACGACTTCCAGCGCGGACCGTGCCCCGAGTCCAATTGTGGTGGTTTCTATTCTGTAAACATGCTCTTCCGGAATTCCAGCGCGACTCTCATTACATTTACTTAGAACCTCCGCCCTTTGGACCTTCGAACGCTTTGCGTTTGCGGCTTCCCATTTATGAGTCACCCACAAGAACTGGAGGAGGAGCGTCGGTGTGTTCCTCCGTTTCTCTCTCTTGCACGTACGCTACTCAAACACCGTTACTTATTCCAGGCCTGCTGTCCAGTATGCCTCTACTCTCCTTTTAGACTACGCTAAACCCATTAGATCTGCACCGCCGGCAGTTACGCCTCTTCAACCCCTCCCTCTCGCGTTTTCAGAGCCACCAGTGAATGCGTTGAAACGGCGCACTCGGGTGCAGCCGTGAAATCGATAGATCGGCAGGTCAGACCGGCGCAGCGAGCTATCAACTCAACCAACACCAACCAAAAACCAACCAAATCTAACTAATCTCACAAACTCCAATAACCGAAGCTAATCGTGTGTGTGAGTTCGGGGTAGTGGGACAGGCGTCTTGTCCCTCAGGAGTGTTGCTTTCTTAAGTGTTATCAACAAGTGGACCGCGGACAAGGTTTATATTGAGCGCAAGTTCAATTGGGTTTCAATTCAATTCAATTCAATATCTTTATCTGAAGTCGCGGCCCCCGTAGGAAAGTTTGTATGGTTTGAGAGTACTCGACTCGAGTACAAAATATGGAGATTGTGTACTTGCAACGCTACGGTGACCACTCTTGCCACAGAGTAGCCACTGTAGACCGAAAGGTCGAGCTTTCCTTTATTTCCCAACTATTGCTAGAGCAAAGCTCGATAGCGGCGGCAGAGAGCAAAGCTCAATCGGCGGCTAGTGGATGGAACGTACACACTCGTCGAGGCTTTCCTTTATTCTCACTGACGGTACTCTGTAGCGGCGGGGAGACAAATCCCGTTGGCTAGTTTCCGGTCGGCAACAACGGCTTCTAAGGGCTAGCGGCTGGCTAGGCGGCTGTGCTCAGGCGGCGGTTGCGCGGAGACGTACACACCTCTATCCTATCTTATTGCTTTCCAACAAAATCTAATTTTATATCTT